ACAGTGTGAATATACTTAACACTAATGACCTATACGTTTAAAAATGGCTTAAGTAATAAATTGTGTATTTTACCACAATTTAAAATAACCCGCTGGGTGCGGTGGCTCACATCTGTAATCCCAGCACTTTGGGCGGCTTAGGTAGTCGGATCACTTGAAGTCAGGAGTTCAGTCAGCCTAGCCGACATGGTGAAACCCCATTTCTACTAAAAATACAAAAAAATTAGCTGGGCATGCTGATGCACGCCTGTAATCCCAGCTACTCGGGAGGCTGAGGGAGGCTTGATAATTGCTTCAACCAGAGAGACAAAGGTTGCAGTGAGCCAAGATCATTCTACTGCACTCTAGCCTGGGTGACAGAGCAAGACTCCGCCTCAGAAAAAAAAAAATAATCATAATAAAACAAAACTAAAAAGTGAAAGAATGTAGCATGCTGAAAGCCAAGGGCTGGGAGAGTTTGAAGAAGGCAGGAGGCACCAGTTCTGTCATATATTCTTTGAGAGGTCAAATATGAGGAGGCCTAATGAACATCCATTTTGTCCATTAAATTTATTTTATTTTATTTTATTTTTTTGAGACTGAGTCTCACTGTATTGCCCAGACTGGAGTACAGTGGTACAATCTCATCTTGCTGCATTCTCAGCCTCCCGAGTAGCTGGGATTACAGGCATACACCACCACACCCAGCTAATTTTTGTGTTTTTAGTAGACAGGATTTTGCCATGTTGGTCAGGCTGGTCTTGAACTCCTGACCTCAAGCAGTCTGCCCACCTCAGCCTCCGAAAGCTCTGGGATTACAGGCATGAGCTATCACGCCTGGCCTGTCCATTAAATTTAAATGCATGAAAGCCACCATTGGCCTGGGAAAGTGTGTGTGCCTGTGTAATGGGGTAGGTTACAAAGGGATTGAGAAGCAGGGAAATGCAGAAGAAAGTGTAGATAGCTCTTTCAAGAGGTGAGGCAGCAAAAGGGAGGAGAGAAGAAAGGCAGTACCTAGAAAGGGAAATGGGATGAAAGACCAGACAGCTTGAGACAAGTGGCATTCTTCTGCTATTGGTGCTTTTCTAAATAAGCCACTTTTAAAAAGCAGCAGAAGTGACTTCATAAAATCACATAGGCAAAACAGAATACCAGACATCTAAAAACAAGCAGATGGAAATTTATTACTCTGTAAACAGGACAAATCTATTTTTTTAGAAGCACCAATATTTCTCCAGTTGCCCCCCAAGTAATTATTTGAATCCATCTTACAGATAAGCAAATAGTGTGCTGAGATCTTGTACCTCGAAGGGGGCATAGCAGCATCCGGAGACCTGCAGTGTAGAAGGAGAAACAGGGGCTTCACAATCAGATCAGAGGGCAAGTCCCAGTTCTGATGCCAGGAAAAACCACTGTATCTCTCTCAGCCTGATTCTTGCTCTGAAAAATGGTGATATCTACCTCACTGGCAGGGTGGTTGTAAAAATCCTACGACATACAGAGTTCTGGCATGGTGTCTAGTGCTTAATAGATAGTGAGTGAGCTTGGTAATCTGGGCATCAGTGACTCTTTTTTTTTTTTTTTTGAGACGGAGTTTCAGTATTGTTACCCAGACTAGAGTGCAATGGCACGATCTCAGCTCACTGCAACCTCGGCCTCCTGGGTTCAAGCAATTCTCCTACCTCAGCCCCCAAGTAGCTGGGACTACAGGCGTGCACCACCATGCCAGCTAATTTTTGTATTTTTAGTAGAGACGGGGTCTCACCTTGTTGACCAGGATGGTCTCAATCTCTTGACCTCGTGATCCACCTGCCTCAGCCTCCCAAAGTGCTGAGATTATAGGCGTGAGCCACCGCGCCCGGCCTATCAGTGACTTTTAACCATTAGTGGTTGTCATGCCCATACCAGCCCCAAGTACCACTCCTGACCTTGGGAGGAGAGTGGTTCTACTAGTTCATTATATTTTTTCCCTGGTAGTGTTAAAACATGATACTGACCTTTGATGTCTATAAAGGACCTTGCAGCTGAGCGTGGTGGTGCATGCCTGTAGTCCCAGCTACTTGACTTCGGAGGCAAAGGTGGGAGGATCCCTTGAGCCCAGGAATTTGAGGCCCGCTGGAACAACATAGTGAGACCTGGTCTCAAATTTATAAAAGTAACATTTCTTTAAAAAGGGTTTAAAGCCGGGCACGGCGGCTCAAGCCTGTAATCCCAGCACTCTGGGAGGTCGAGGCGGGTGGATCACGAGGTCAAGAGATCGAGACCATCCTGGTCAACGTGGTGAAACCCCATCTCTACTAAAAATACAAAAAATTAGCTGGGCATGGTGGCACGTGCCTGTAATCCCAGCTACTCAGGAGGCTGAGGCAGGAGAATTGCCTGAACCCAGGAGGTGGAGGTTGCGGTGAGTCGAGATCGCACCATTGCACTCCAGCCTGGGTAACAAGAGTGAAACTCCGTCTCAAAAAAAAAAAAAAGGGTTTAAAGAATTTACTGAATTGTGATTGCAGTAATTTCCCCTTAAATGTTTTAAAGGGATGTGCCTTCCAGGAAATACCTGAAGACACAAAGGAAATAAACATAACTAGGAACATAGGTAACTTGAGTAGAGGGTTTGTTGGTGTTCTCAATAGCAGCTGCCGTGGAAGGTGGTTTAAAAGATACCCTAGGCTGGGCACAGTGGCTCATGCCTGTAATCCCCAGCACTTTGGGAGGCCGACACGGGTGGATCACGACGTCAGGAGTTCAAGACCAGCCTGGCCAACATGGTGAAACCCCATCTCTACTAAAAATACAAAAAATTAGCTGAGCGTGATGGTGCACACCTGTAATCCCAGCTGCTCAGGAGGCTGAGGCAGGAGAATCACTTGAACCTGTGAGACAGAGGTTACAATGAGCTGAGACTGTGCCACTGCATACCAGCCTGGGCAACAGAGCAAGACTTTGACTCAAAAAACAAAAAAGATACCCTACACTGCTCCCTCTTTGCCAACATGACTATGGAGCCCATAAGAGTGAAACCATGATAGTGATACAAGTGCACATTTTCAGGCTCTTACTGTATGCCAGGTTTTTTTGAGATGGAATCTCTCTTTGTCACCCAGGCTGTGGTACAGTGGTGCGATCTCAGCTCACTGCAGCCTCTGCCTCCTGGGTTCAAGCAGTCCTCTGCCTCACCCTCCGGAATGGATGGGATTACAGGCGCCTGTCACCACGCCCAGCTAACTTTTGTATTTTTAGTAGAGACAGGGTTTCACCATTTTGGCCAGGCTGGTCTTGAACTCCTGACCTCATGATCCACCCGCCTCGGCCTCCCAAAGTGCTGGGATTACAGGCATGAGCCACTGCACCCGACTGCTTTTGTTTAAATCATTACAATAACCTTATGAGGTTGATGCTAATATCAACCACATTTTATAGGTGAGGAACCTGAGTCTCAAAGAAGCCCACTTTTACAAATGAGGAAGCCAAACCTCAGAAACATTAAGTATCTGGCCTGTGGTTCCACAGTTAAGAAATGGTAGGACTGAGATTTGAACCTAGGTGATCTCATTCAAAAGCTGTGAGACTTTAGGGTGGCAAATGGTTCAAAAAAGTGTCAGAGCCAGAAGGGCCCTTGAAATCACGTGTGCAGCTCCTTGTCTTGCACAGCTAGCATCTGGCATATTAGGAGTACAGCATTTGTAGTCAGCCAAACTGAAGTTTGCCACTTACTAGCTCTGTGTTCTTGGACATCTGATTGTCTTTTATTTTCCTCATCTATAAAATGATTTTCACAGGATCATTATGAGGCACAAACAAAATTATATGAAGTACATGATTTTTTTTTTACTATCTCCAGTAATGGGTATAAGCAAGAAGTACATGATTTATCAGGCATTTGGTAAATAGCAGCTGTGTTTGTAATAAGTACTATGATTATAAGTTGTGGTGCCAGGCGCGGTGGCTCACACCTGTAATCCCAGCACTTCATGAGGAGACCGAGGTGGGCAGATCACCTGAGATCAGGAGTTCAAGACCAGCCTGGCCAACACAGTGAAACCCCATCTGTACTAAAAATACAAAAATTAACTGGGCACGGTGGCACGCACCTGTAGTCCCAGCTACTCGGGAGGCTGAGACAGGAGAATTGCTTAAACCCGGGAGGTGGAGGTTATGGTGAGCCAAGATCACGCCATTGCACTCCAGCCTGGGCAACAAGAGCAAAACTCCATCTCAAAAAAATAAATAAATTATGGTATAATTGGTTTGAGGTTAAGAAAAACTTAGGATAAGAGGCCAGGCGTGGTGGCTCACACCTGCAATCCTAGCACTTTGGGAGGCCGAGGTGGGTGGATCACCTGAGGTCAGGAGTTCAAAACCAGCCTGGCCATCATGGTGAATCCCCATCTTTTAAAAAAAATAAAAATGAAAATGAAATAAAATAAGAAAAACTTAGGATAAGAAAGGAAGGGATCTAGCCATGGTCACACGAAAGCAGAAGGAGGAGTTTAGTTCCCTATCCTGGCTCTTCACTGACTACTAGTCCATGTGGGAAAAGCCACTTTGTCATTGGAGTAGAGTGAGAGAGTGTTCTGTGAATTCCAAGGTAGAAAGACAGATTGATTTTCATAACCAGCGTTCTCATTAATTACTGTTATTGCAAGCCCTAGGAGAGTGGCACCTTCCCAGAGATCACTCAGTGAAGGGCATCCTTAATGAGGCCACTTAGCACGGTCAAGGTAGAAAAGACAGTTACACCAAATGTCACCTCTTTGTTCTGTCATTCTTTTATCACTCCGCAGATAGCTAGTCTGGGCTAGGCTCTATGCTGGGACTCGGAACACAGGAATTAGGATGTTCCCAACCCCAGGAAGCGCATAGGCACACAGTCTGTGCCTCCTGAGCCCTCTGACCTCTGGGTTCTCATCAGGGCCAGCAACCTCACCTCGCCTCACCTGTCAGTCCTCAGAAGGGCAATTGTACAGTCTTCAGGTTCCTTCTTACTGGATAACTAAGATCTTGATTTTGATGTGTTTCAGCTGGAAAGGGCTACCCCTGCAAAACGTGTAAGATAGTGCTGAACTCCATAGAACAGTACCAAGCTCATGTCAGTGGCTTCAAACACAAGAACCAGTAAGTAACCATTTTTTGAAATTCTAGGATCTATAGTAGGAGCTCAGGACTTCTGTGTCAGAACAAAGCCAGGTAGTTCTTGGCTGAAACGGAATCCTAGCAGCCTTTTCTCAGTGAACAGAAGATGAATCATCTAACAGGAACAAGTTTCTCCTCTATACATATTTCTCCACCAGCTTCTGCCCAGCCTTTGGACCTGCTGGGCTCAAGGTTTTAATAGAGAAGCATACATGATTTCTTTGATAGAACCTTAAGAACATCTGGCTTTCCTGGTCTGTAGCACTCTGACTGAGGAAGTGTTTTTCCACTAGCCTGGAGAGCCTACCCTTTGCTGGCAAGAGTTCCCTCTATAGGTCATTATCAGATATGATCAGGCCCTCTCATTCATTAATCACGTATTTGTTGAGCATCTTCTGAATGGTGGTCTAGACAGACCCAGACTGCTCTCATAACCTTACAACCTGATGGGAGGCTATACAAGTAAACAACCAGTAACTGCAGCTTGTGATAAGGGTTTTGAAGGAACCAGGTAAACAGGTTCATGGTAATCTTGAAAATGACTAACAGTCATTGTGCCCCTCTTCTATTGCAGGCTGTACATCCAGCAGATTTTCTCAGGTAATCCTTCCAACCCTGAGAGGAACAGATAATTATTCCAATTTTATACATAGAAACAACCAGCATTGTAAGTGGTGATGTGAAGCAGGGTCATGATTCAAATTGAAGCCTGTCTGGCTCACAGCATGCTCCTCCCAAGGTGTCAGGCTCAGAAGTAGGTTATGGCACCATTGATATGAAGAGGATAGGACCTGGCCTGGAGGGTCTACATGGTTCTGTCCCTTCCTCTCTGAAGGGAAATATGTGTTATGAGCAATGTGCCACAACATAACCTTGGTTTTTGTTTTTGTTTTTTTTATAGGGAAGGGGTTTCACCATCTTGGCCAGGCTGGTCTCAAACTTGACCTCAAGTGATCTGCCTGCCTCAGCCTCCCAAAGTGCTGGGATTACAGGTGTGAGCCACTGCAGCTGGCCCCAGCATAACCTTCTAAGATGGGTAGCAGAATCCCCATTTTACAAACAAGGAAACTGAGTTTCAGGCGGGCAGGTCTGCTGAAATAATTGCTTTGACTTTGGTCATTTGTTTTGCTTTGCTCATTGAGCTGAATGATTTTAAAGGTGATGGAAATGCAGGGTGTTGGTATAAGAAAATGTCCTTAGTTCTCTCTACTCTGCCTGGAGTCTCCTTTCTCACACTGTAGATCATCCTCTTTACCTGTGGATATTTTTTTTACTTTGGGGAACTCTTGAAGGATAGCCTTGAGACAAGCCCCAGCAACTCAGCCTGGAGCTCACGCAGTGTTTCAGCATGCATACCTCCCTTGCAGTTTGGTTGATAGCAGTTACAATAGACAAACTGGAGCCAACCCAGAGCCCTGCCCTGGGGCTATCCATACCTGAAAGTGCTAGTGTTGTTCACTCTTCTCTTGCTAAACTTTCCAGCTCTATGACCTTGGGCAAGTCAATAAGCCTCTAATTCTCCCAGCATGGGCAATGTAGTGACACCCTGTCTACAAAAAATAAAGTTAGCCAGGTGTGGCAACATACACCTGTAGTCCTGACTACTTGAAAGGGTGAAGTGGGAGAAGAGCTTGAGCCCAGAAATTTGAGGCGATAGTGAGCTACAATGGCACCACTGTACTCCAGCCTGGGTGACTGAGTGAGATCCTGTCTCAAAATTTTTAAAAGTCTCTAATTCTTCTGTAAAGATAAAGCTATGGTTTGTTGAACACCTGAGTCAGTCTCATGAAATTCTCACCAAGAGGTCTGAAATTAGGATACCCCCTCCCAACCCCACCTTTTACAACCAAAGAAACCCTAAGTATCAGATAGGTTAATTAACTTGCCCAAGGTCACTTAGTTACTTGGAGTTAGACCTAGGATTCAAGCCTGTTTTACTCTGAAGCCCATTCATTTTATTCTGCCACTACCAAATGGAATGAGTTTATACAAACTCATTCACTCATACACCCTGTAGGCAGTGGTTTGGTATAGTGAAAAGGCATGGGCTACAGTCCTAAATCTACCGCTTAAAAACATACTTTGGGCCGGGTGTGGTGGCTCATGCCCGTAATCCCAGCTACTCAGGAGACTGAGGCAGGAGAATCACTTGAACCTGGGAGGCAGAGGTTGTGGTGAGCCAAGATCATGCCATTGCACTCCAGCCTGGGCAACGAGTGAAATCCATCTAAAACAAAACAAAACAAATCATACTTTGGGCTAGCCACTTCAACTTTCTGAACTTTAATTTCCTTGTATGTAAGATGAAGGTGTTGTTCTCACCTTGCAGAATTGCCATGAGGATGGAATGACTGAAGCTAAGCATCCGGCATTCTGCCAGCCCACAGTGGACCTCAGTGAAGGAAAGCTGCCTTGTCTATTACTCCAAGACCCTAGAAAGGCACTGCTATCATTGCAATAAGCCAGTACAGCTGCCACACACTGACCCTGTTCCTTTGTTCTTTCTCAAATACAGGTTACCAAAAACAGTGGCATCATCCCTGGGCCAGATTCCAATGCAAAGGCAACCCATTCAGAAAGACTCAACCACCTTGGAAGACTAGAGGTGTTTCTGCCCAGTGTCCCATGTTGGGCCAGCCATGAGCCAGCTTCCTGTGACTACTCAGCCCTTGGCTCCCTCTCACTCCTTGTTCTCACCAGGAAAATACACAGGCCTGAGGCAGGATTGGGCCACAAACAACCTCTGATTGGTCCAGGCTAATTCACTCCTGTTGCTCCCCTTTGGCAGGGGTCCTGTAGGTCATGATAGGGGAGTCAGGGGTATTGAGAAACTTGTGGTCTCACCGGGTGGTAGTTTGGAGGATGGCTTTCCCTCTTCCCCAACCCCTCTGGGCCATAGGTGCTGAGGCCCTAGCCACCTGTCTTTCCTCTGAAGGTCAGTTTTGGGCCAGTTCCTGCAACTAAAGAACAGAGATCTCCCTGGGCCCTAGACATTTCCAGTGAAACCTGGAACTTTTATACCAAACCTGGGCCAGGGCAGGAAACAGAGGAAATCACTTCTACATGGGAGCTTGGAGCTAATACAACACTCCGCCTTCCCCCACAAAGTGAAGGCTTTCCTGAGCCTTAGACAAGATATGGCCAGTTGTGCAGGTTTCTGCCAACTGTAAAGTGTCCTCCTGGAGCAATGACACAGTCTTGGTGGAGCATTGCTACTCCTCCTGCCCTGCTCCACAGTTCCTGAATGGTGCTAAGGATCTATAGCACCTGGCAACAAGCTGGGGCTGGGGGAGGCCTCTATGTCCACTGGGATCATGGGACACTCCAATGGGGATGGGACCTTTCCCCTCCTCCATCAGAGGTGCTCTGACCCAACATCACATGGGAAAGCGACCCACATGCAAGTCTCCCTGAGGGTTCTGCTCCTAAAGGCAAACTGCCTCATGCCAGCCAGCCATGAGGTTCATTGCTACCCTTGGCCCTATTAACCCTTTGTTTCCCCTTGTGCAGCAGACCACCTTGCCCAGGTTGCTGTGGTGCTAGCCTTCCCCATCATCCACCAGGTGATTTTTGGTTTCCAGAGAAAGAAATGGAGAGCTGATGCAGGTTTCTACAGTGAGGAACAGATAGATGTTCCCCAGGCCCCACACCCAGATTTATCTATCTTTGCTGTGTTTTATGGCCTGGGACTGACTCCACAGAGATAGATTTTTCCTTGTAGCTTTGAAGCAAGAATTCTGAGGAGTGTCACCATCAGAGGCTTCTCTTCACTGTGTCAAAGAAGCCCCTAGCTGCTCTCGTGGCCTCCTTCCCCCACTCCCTATCCCTTTACCTGTGAAATGCCTTTGCTTTGCATATTGTGTGTGGATGTGTGTGTGTGTGGATGTGTGTGGATGTGTGTGCTTAATGCTCTGTCTCTTGATCACTGAAGCGTCCAAATAAAGAATTACTCCCATGAGTCAGACTGCAACTTAACAAATCTAGGGTTTTGAGCTGTATTACTGTTAGATCTAGTATGTCTGTCTTGACCCCTAACCCCTACCCGACTCAGACCCCCAGGTCCTCAGTAGTCATTTTAGGAGTTGGGACAGAGTCAGGCACCCTGTGAAAGTCTCCAAGGTGCCCTGAACTCAATATAGCCTCATCTCATCCACCTTTTCCTGCCTCTCCTGTCACATAGGGCCTCACGAGAAGGTCTTTAACAGGTTTAAGCTGGGGATCTGCTTTGTGTTTGAGCGAATTATTCTGACTGTTATGTAAGAGAATACAGTGGGGTCAGGAAAGGAGACCGGGAGGCCAGTATGGAAACTGTGTCCAGTATGGCTTTCCAGGCTCATCACTCAGGGCAGAGACCCAGCCTTATTTATCTCTACTTTCTGATGTCCATAGTGGTGTGTCATGAAGTTTTATTGAATGAATGAGTTGTATGAGGAGAGATGTTTTTTTCCCCGCTCAGATCTTACGCAGTGATAGGTTTGTTTCATGGGACTTATCATAGGCCTGGTGATTCTTGAAAGAGCATTTTCCACGACCCAAAAATGAGCTGAGAAGGAATGTTATGGCCAGTTGTGGTGGCATGCACCTATAGTCCCAACTGCTCAGGAGGCTAAGGCAGAAAGACCATTCAAATCCAAGAGTTCCAGCCTGTAGTATGCTAGGATCATGCCTGTGAATAACCACCTCACTCCAGCCAGGGCAACATAACAAGAGTCCATCTCAAAAAAAAAAAAAGTGGCCAGGCATGGTGGCTCACGCCTGTAATCCAAGCATTTTGGAGGCCAAGGCAGGTGGATCACCTGAGGTCAAGAGTTTAAGACCAGCCTGACCAACATGGTGAAACCCCGTCTTAAAAAAAAAAAAAGTATAGCTGGGCGCGTGACTCACACCTGTAATCCCAGCACTTTGGGAGGCCGAGGTGGGTGGATCATGAGGTCAGTAGTTTGAGACCAGCATGACCAACATGGTGAAATCCCATCTCTACTAAACATACAAAAATTAGCTGGGCATGGTGGCATACACCTGTAATCCCAGCTACTCAGGAGGCTGAGGGAGAATCACTTTAATCTGGGAGGCAGAGGTTACAGTAAGCCAAGATCACACCACTAAACTGTAGCCTGGGTGACAAAGGGAGACTCTGTCTCAAAAAAAAAAAAAGTATAAAAATAAATTTTAAAAGAAGATAGCTGGGTGTGGTGGTGCATTCCCGTAGTCCTAGCTACCTAAAAGGGTGAGGCAGGAGGATTGCTTGAACCCAGGAATTCAAGGCTGCAGTGAACTATGATTATGCCAGTGTACTCTAATCTGGGCAACAGAGCAAGACTCCATCTCTAAAAATAATAATTTTTAAAATTTAAAAAGAAGAATGTTATGGCCTCAGGAGCTCTTTGTCCCATCCTTTGCAGCCAAGTTTGAGGAAAGGGCCCAGGCAGCCTCAGCTCCCATTCAGCACCACTCAGCCCCTGCTTCTGGTCAGTTGTGAAAGTCTCTACCCAGCTCCAGGGGAGGTTCGCAGCATTCAGCTTCCCAAGATCAGACTGCCTCAGCAATTTCCCCCAGAGTTCTTCTAAGCCACCCAGTATGCCAAATTCAGCCCCATCTACTAAGCAAGGGAATGAAGGATAGGGGGGTGAGTCCCTACCAGTTGTGTGGCCAGCCTTGTTGGTAAGGGGTCCTAGAGATGAAAATTTTCTTGCCCTCGGGGGTTCACACATGGTTAAAGATCATTATGACAATGATAATGCCCAGGATGCACGAGCTGATTCAGCCAAGGGTGTAAAAAAGCTGGAGAGATTGGGAAACTAGTATTTGATCTGTATAACAACCTTTGAGCTAAGAGTTGATACTCCATATATAGGAGGCCAGGTGGGGTAGCTCACACCTGTAATCCCAGGACTGGGAGGCCGAGGCAGGTGGATCACAAGACGCTAGGAGTTCAAGACCATCCTGGTCAACATGGTGAAATCCCATCTCTACAAATAAATAAAAGTCATAGAAGGAACAAGGCTAAAAGAGGTGTCATGATTTGCCCAAGGTCCTGCCTCTAAGAAGTGACAGAATGGAGAATAGAATCTGGTTCTCTAGACTTGCTCTTAGAACCCTTTACAAGTGAGGACCAGAGTCAAGGCCCCTGCAGCCTGCCTCACCAGTCTCCTGCTAGTGCCGTGGTCTTACAGGGTGAGCAGCCACAAAACAGATGGATCAAGGCTCAGTGTTCATATTCCAAGTCCCTCCTTTTTTCTCATAATTTTGTCTCATTCCCAGTGTATTAGACTCTCATCATTAAACTGTTGGAAACCCAAATCCAAGCAGTTAGCTAAAAAAGTGAATATATTGATTCACTTAATGAAAAATTCAAATACAGTGATAGCTGGACCCAGACTCAGAGATGGGTTCATCAGGAAGAATTTTCTGTCCCTCTGCTTTCCTCCTCAGGCAGGTTCTCTAATAGGTGGCAAAGTGGCCACTGGCAGCCCCAGTCTTCTCTCCTGATACATTAGTAATAACAGTGGAAAGAACACCTTTTTCCATTAGTTCCAGCAAAAATTCTGGGATTGCCTCAGCCAGTTTAGTCCTGTTCTCATCCCTGAAGTAATCATTGTGGCTAGGGAAATGGCACTCTGATTTGGGGCCTGGGTCATGTGCCTACAGCCGAGTCAGCTCCACCTAAAACACTGAGAAAGGGAGTAGGGGCCAGGTGCAGTGGTTCATGCCTGTAATCCCAGCACTTTGGGAGGCCAAGGCGGGCAGATCACGAGGTCAGGAGTTTGAGACCAGCCTGACCAACATGGTGAAAGCCCATCTCTACTAAAAATACAAAAAAATTAGCTGGTAGTGGTGGCATGTGCCTGATATCCCAGCTACTCAGGAGGCTGAGGCAGAAGAATCGCTTGAACCTGGGAGGTAGAGGTTGCAGTGAGCCGAGATCACACCACTGCACTTCAGCCTGGGCAACAGAGTGAGACTCTGTCTCAAAAAAAAAAAGGAGTGATGCAACCCCAAAAGAAAGTTGGAGGGCTTTCTGGATTAAGGGGGAATGGATGCATGGGGAGGCAGGAACAGAAACAATGTCTACCGTACCTAGAAATTGTTTAACTATTTCCTTTTTTTCCCTAACTTTTTAAATCATCATTCAGTAATGTGCGTCAATTTTAGACTTCAATTTGTTGAATCCTCAACATGTATACATTGGGGCTGTTACCCTGCAGATCTAGATACAGAACATTGCCAGGTCCCCAGAATGTTCCCTCATTTCCCCTCCTAGTCAGTATCCCCTAGAAGTAACCACTACTTTTTTTTTTTGAGACGGAGTTTTGCTCTTGTTACCAGGGCTGGAGTGCGATGGCGCGATCTCAGCTCACCACAACCTCCGCCTCCTGGGTTCAAGCAATTCTCCTGCCTCAGCCTCCTGAGTAGCTGGGATTACAGGCATGCGCCACCATGCCCAGCTAATTTTTTGTATTTTTAGTAGAGACGGGGTTTCACCATGTTGACCAGGATGATCTCTTGACCTCGTGATCCACCCGCCTTGGCCTCCCAAAGTGCTGGGATTACAGGCTTGAGCCACCGCGCCCGGCCATCCACTGTTTTGACCACTACAGATTAGTTTGGCTTGCTCTTGAGTTTTATAAAAAGGGAAGTATACATACATTTTGTACAATATTATGTTTGTGGAATTCATCCATGTTACTGTATGTCTCAGAAGTTCAATTTTTCAACCAGGTGCAGTGGCTCATGCCTGTAATCCTAGTACTTTGGGAGGCCAAGGCGGGTGGATCAGTTGAGGTCAGGAGTTCAAGACCAGCCTAGCCAACATGGTGAAACCCTGTCTCTACTAAAAATACAAAAATTAGCCTGTCATGGTGGCAGATGCCTATAATCCCAGTTAGGAGGCTGAGGCAGGAGAATTGCTTGGACCTGGGAGGTGGAGGTTACAAGTGAGCTGAGATTACATCACTGCACTCCAGCCTGGGTGATGTGAGACTCCGTCTCAAAAAGAAAAAAAAAACAAAACAGTTTTTTCGTGCTGTGTAGTGGTCCTTTATTTGAATATAGCACGATTTGGCCATCCTTCTTTTTTGTTTTGTTGTTTTTGTTCTTGAGGCGTTTTCACCCTGTCACCCAGGCTGGAGTGCAGTGATGTAATCTCGGCTCACTTGTAACCTCCACCTCAAGGCTTACTGCAGCCTTGACCTCCTTGGGTCAAGTGATCCTACCACCTCAACCTCCCAGGTAACTGGGACCACAGGCATATGCCACCATGCCAGCTAATTTTTTTGTAGAAATGGGGTCTCTGTTGCCCAGGCCGGTCTTGAACTCCTGGGCTCAAGGGATCCACCCACCTCAGCCTCCCAAAGTGCTGGGATTACAAGCATGAGCCACTGCACCTGGCCCAGTCATCCTATTGAGGGACAATTGGGTTGTTTCTAGTTTGGGGTATTATAAATAAAAGTGCTGTGAAGAATTTTGTGCATGTTGCTTGGTACACATGTTCACTCACATACTCAGGCATGGAATCATAGAGTAGGCATATGTTTAGCTTGTCTAGACACTGCCAAACAGTTTTCCAAAGTGGCTCTACTGAATCCATCCTCACTGGCTGTGTGTGGGGGCTCCAGCAGCTCCACATCTTGGTCAGCACTTGGCGGTGTCAGTTTTCTTTAATAACTGGCCATTCTGGTGGAACCCAGGAATTTGAAATCCATAGTTCCTGACTTGAAATCAAGGCCCCTCTTACTCTTAACATCCTCAAGACAGGTTTAAATTTTGTAGCCTGTAGTCTCAGAAGTCAGTGCCCAGGACCTGTAATACAGCAGGCAAGCATGAGAGGGAGCCCCTGCTCATGGCTCCAGTGCCTTGGGAGGGTCTCAGGGAGGCATCAGCTCTGGAGAGGCAGTCTAGTGTAGTGCCAAAAACTCAGGTTCTGGGAAGCAAGCAGCCAAGTTTCACTTCCCAGTTCTGCCATCGCA